ATCTGTACTTCCCTCAATACTGCCCAAGCCCTCCCTTACCCTTAGCCAACCTGGGTAGGTGGATGAGGGGCCACTGTTTGCTGGGTGTTTATATAGAAAGTAGGCTGATTTTATTTTACATGCTTTTGAGTTACTGTTGGAAGACTAATCATAAGCAGTTTCTAAACCAAAAACATTAAAAATTAAAAAAAAAAAATGACATGTTGTAAAAGGACAATAAATGTTGGGTCAAATGGAGCTTGAGTCCCAGATACTGTGCCTCTTCTTTTCCTGAAGTTTGCATCCTATTTGGACATATTCAGGGGGCCAAAAAAAGTTAAAAACAACAACCTGCTTTTGTATAAGTGTGGTTGCATGCAAATAGGTTAGAGGACCATTGTTGGGTGTTAGTCCTCACCTTCCACCTTTTTGAGACTAGGTCTGTTTGCTGTTCCTTACATCTAGGTGGCAGTTTTTGGGGATTCTCTCTCTCTCTCTCTCTCTCTCTCTCTCTCTCTCTCTCTCCCTCTCTCTCACTAACCTTGAGACAGGGTTTCTCTCTCTGTGTAACAGCCCTGACTGTCCTTGAACTAACTTACTCTGTAGACCAGTCTGGCCTCAAACTCAGAGAACCACCTCCCAAGAACTGGGACTAGAGATGTGCACCACCACTGCCTGGCAGGGATTCTTTTTTCTCTCTTTCTCACATGCTGCTTTGGGAGTACTAGAATTAAATACTGTTGCGTCTGGCTTTGTGGGTCCTGGAGATGGACTAATCCATATATCTCCCCAGCCTTTTTTCATACCCTTGATCCATAATTAAGGATGGGCATGGGTTTCTTTTTGGGGAGGAGGGGTGTTGAGACAGGGTTTCTCTGTGGCTTTGGAGGCTGTCCTGAAACTCACTCTGTAGACCAGGCTGGCCTCGAACTCACAAGAGATCCACCTGCCTCTGCCTCCTAAGCACTGAGATTAAAGTCATGCACCACCACCGCCTGGCATCCCTTTCCTTTAACACTTTTTTCCCCTTTAACACTTTTTAATTGGAACTTTACTGAGCAGGTTGGGTGGGGATGGCGTTTGTACTTTGTCTAACAAAGTAAAAACAGTGGATAGTACTGTAGTGAAGGGGAGCAGCCTGATGGAGTTGCATTCCCCTTCTACTTGTATTTAATACAGAAAACCAGGTCTGTAGAACCTTTTCTCCTGAAGGATTAGTTTGTGGTACTCTTAACTATTTGCAAAACCATTTTTTGGAGAGCTGAGCATGGTGCTTCACAACTTCAATTCCAGCACTCAAGAGGCAAGAGGTCAGCCTGGTTACATGGTGAGTTCTAGGACAGTCAGGGATACGTAGATTCTTTCTCAAAAAAAGGAAAAAGGGGGGAAATTTTGTTCTTGGGTAAGAGAGATGACTCAACCATTAAGAGCTCATACTCGGGACTGGAGAAATGGCTCAGAGGTTAAGAGCACTGACTGCTCTTCCAGAGGTCCTGAGTTCAATTCCCAGCAACCACATGGTGGCTCACAACCATCCGTAATGAGATCTGGTTCTCTCTTCCGGCCTGCAGGCATACATACAGGCAGAACACTGTATATAATAAATAAAATCTTTAAAAAAAAAAAAAATCTAAAGATCTCATGCTCTCCAGAGGACTCCAGTTCCTTGTACCATCCCTTCTCTATTACTTGCACATAGTCATACATAGACATACATATCTTAAAATCTTGGAGGTTTGTGCATCCCAGCCATGCATACCCCCTAGTTGAGTCATTCAAGAATATGCCTTACTGCTGTTTCTGAAGTCAGAAACATGATAATCCTGCCCCAAGAGAGTGATACAGTGAAAATAGCTATCAGTTGACCAAGCAGAACTGATCATCCCAAAACCTACAAAATTTTTAGTATATATGGACAATTACAAGAACATAAGATACTTAGATTGGCTGGTTATAGACTGGAACATCTTTGGACTTGTTTAATAAAATACTTTAAGATTTATTTATTAATAAATTTATTTAAATATTTTAAGATTTAAATTTTTTAAGATTTATTTACTATGTATACAGTATTCTCACTGCATATATGCCCTGCACACCAGAAGAGGGCACCAGATTTCATAGATGGTTGTGAGCCACCATGTGGTTGCTGAGAATTGAACTCAGGATCCCTGGAAGAGCAGCCAGTGCTCTTCTAAGCCATCTCTCCAGCCCCAAACTAGATCTTTTTCAGTTTGGGAATTTGAGTCTGTTCCCTACCACTTAGCTTTTAGCCCTTTTGCCATTTGGATATTCCCAGTTATGTGGTCTACACTACCTACTCTGCACTGTGTCACTGCCATCCTTGTAGGTTGGCAACGTCATGACCTCATTAAGGGCCAGAGATCAGCCCACTTGGAGAAAGACTTTGGGGACTCCTTCATCAAGCTTTAAGCACAGCAAAAGACATGGATCATTTTCCCCAAGACAATGGGATACAGGATAAGTTACTGAAAGGTGCATTAGGATGGTTTACTTGTACTAGGGTTGACAGTGGACCTCTTAATCAGCTTTCTTAGCTAAAATGTTTGAAAACCCTCTCTGAGCTATAGGGTACTTATGAGAAAGATATGGTTAGAGGACGAATTTCAGGTCAAGTATGTTGTATAAACTTGTAACAATAGAAAAAGAGCCCATGAATTTGAAAGCAGGGAAGGACATATGGAAAGGTTTGGAGTGAGGAAAGGAGGAAATGATGTAATTATGATCTCAAAAAAAAAAAAAAAGGCATAAAATACGTTATAGAGAGGCAACATAGCATAGGCTGAGTATAAATAGCATCCTAAGATTTGTTTGGGCCCAAGATACTTGCAGAATTTGCCTTGAGAAAGTCCAAGTACAATGCCACATGTCAAGTGAAAATTTTTGAGACAAGATGTCATTGTAGCCCTGACTGTTTGGGAACTCATTAGGTAGACTAGGCTATCCTTTCAGAGACCTGCCTGTCTCCCAGGTGCTTGCATCTAAGGTTTGAACCAATTCTCCTAGCTAATGACTGATTTGTTGTAGTGGTTAGGAGTTGAACCTAGAGCCTCGTGCATCCTAGTTAAGTAAGCGCTCACTCTACTGTTAGCTACAGTCTGTTTCTCAGTTACATGAGTGTGGGTCTATGCATTGTGTGCTACCCCAGAAGGCCAGAAGAGTGTTCGATTTCCTGGAGCTGGAGTTAAAGGTGGTTTGTGAACTGCCTATGGGAGTTATGGGACTGAATTTGGGTCCTTAGGAATAGTAGGAGGCTCTTAACCTCCATGTCTGAAATTTGGACTTGTGGAGAAATGTGTCATCAACAAAGGCACAAGGATTGAGAACAAGGGGGAAACCATACCAAAATAAGAATCTCAGAGAATATGGAGGGGTAGAGGATTGGAGGGGTAGAGGAATTGAGTGAAGTTCCAGGGTGTGCTTGAGCAGTGTAAAGTTAGGCATGCAAAGAAAGGTACTTGACTTAATTTGGACAGGTTGGGAATCACCTATAAAACACTTCATATCTCCAAAGTGTATTTTATGCAAAAAATGTGAGAAATGAATGTGCTATGAAAGTAATATTGCCAGATTTAATAGCAATTTACTTTTGAGCTGGGGGTGTAAATTGCCTAGTTTATGCATGGCCTTGGGTTCGAACCACAGCATCACTCGAAAAAGCCAATTCACTTTTCCCCTTTTTTTCTTTATTTTTTATTTCTTGCATTGTAAACTTATTTTTGAAATTTATTTGTGTAGCTAAGTGTTTTGTCTGCACTTACATCTGCACCGCCCGAATGTGTGCTTAATGTCCTCAGAGACCAGAAAGGATTGTCACATTCCCTAAAACTGGAACTGCAGATGGTTGTGAGCTGCCAGGTGGGTGCTGAGAAACAGGTCCTCTAGAAGAGTAGGCAGAGCTCTCACCACTGAGTCATCTTTCTGGCCACAAGTACAAGTGGAAGTCACACAAATTACAGGAGTCAATTCTCTCATCCTTGGAATCCTAGGAATCAAACTGGTTGTCAGTCTTGGGGACAAACACCTTTATCCGCTGAGCCATTTCACCAGTCCCTCTCCTCTCTTACTTTATTTGAGACAGGGTCTCACTATGTGGTCCTAACTGGCCTGGAACTCTTTGTAGATCACATTGGTCTTGAACTCTCAGAGATCTGTCTGCCTCTACCTCCTTAGTGCTGGGATTAAATGTGACACCATATCTAACCCTTTACCTTTAAGAAAAACCCAATCTAACTTCTGTGAATATAGTACAGTGTTGTCATTTATATACATGTGCTCATAATTTAAATTTATTCTTGGAGGCTGGAGTTTTTGAGGAAGTCTGTTGAGACCAAGTTGGCCTTTCCCTTTCCCTTTTGTTATCTTTTCAAGTGCTGGGTTTAGAGATGTGCACTACAATACACAGCTTTATAGTTTACTTTTTAAATAACCTTTATAGAAGTGGTAAAGTGAGCCAGGTGTGGTAGTGCATGCCTTTAATCCAAGTGCTAAGAGGCAGAGGCAGGTGGATCTCCATGAGTTTGAGGCCAGCCTGGTTTACAACAAGTTCCATGGCTGTTACACAGAGAAACTTTGAAAAAGTGGTAGTGTACATTATAGAAATTTGGAAAAATAAAAGCAAAAAGTATTTTTGAGGCTATATCTCACTAATAACTCAGGCTGACTTCCAATTTGGTATGATCCTCTTGCCTAAACTATCCAAGTGCTAGGATTACAGGTGTATGCTACCATGTCCAGCAAACAATATTTCCAGTGGCCAGAAATCATCTTTCTATGTCTTCTAGGAAGATGTGTAAATATGTGTCTCTTCATAGAATATTCTTCTTTATCATGCTGAAAATTATGCATGCTAAATGAATGTCTTGTCACTAAGCTATTATAGCCCCACAGGTAATTATGTTGATTAATTTCCTTGTAATTAGTTTATTGAAGAAATATCCCATTTCATGGCCCAGGCTGACCTTGAACTTGTGGTCCTTGATTCTGCCTCTATAGTGCTGGGAGATTATAGATATGTGCTACTTTTTTTTTTTTTTTTTTTTTTTTTTTTTTTTTTTTTTTTCGAGACAGGGTTTCTCTGTGTAGCTTTGGAGCCTATCCTGGCACTCGCTCTGTAGAACAGGCTGGCCTTGAACTCAGAGATCCGCCTACCTCTGCCTCCCGAGTGCTGGGATTAAAGGTGTACGCCACCAACGCCCGGAGGTGAATGGATCAGTTCATTGGTGAAATTGGACATTATTTTGGGGGAATTAGACTCACTAAATTCCATGCTAAAATATTTGTTTCCCAACCTAAATATACAAATTCTAAATGTTCCAGAAATTACTTTAGAAGTCATAGTCATAAAGGTATCATGAGTGGTCATGCTTGTAACCCTAGCACAGGAAGTTTGTAGCCAGCCTGTTCTACAGGAGATCCCATATAAAGAAGAATGTTGATAGACTTAAAACTACATAAGACGTAAAACTTTGGTATAGTAAAGTCACTATAAACAAAACTGGAAGGAAATGTTTGCAGTTATAAGAAATTGAGTTAGTACCTTTTTTTTTCTCTTGATGCTTTTAAGTTAACATGCAAAGTAATTTGTTTCATTATGGGATTTGATTGGTTTAATACATTTTGTATGTAGGATAATGGCCTTCTAAGATGTCTGTGTCTTGTTTTGAGACAAGATCTCACTATGTAGCTTTAGCTGGCCTGGATCTCATAGATCTGTCTGTCACTGCCTTTGGAATGTTTAGAGTAAAGGTGTGTACCACACCATTATGCCTGGCAAGATGTCTACGTCCTTAATCTTTATAACCTGTGGTGTTACTGTACATACAAAGAATTAAGGATGAAAGAGGGAATAAGGTCATTCATCATCAGATGTTTTGTTGGTGTTTTCAAGATGGTTTCTCTGTGTAACCCTGGCTGGCCTGGAATTCATAAAGATCCACCTGCCTCTGTCTCCGGAGTGCTGGGATTAAAGTGCCACCATGCCTGTCTCCTTCGTTTGATTTTAAGACAGATGTGAAGCTTGGGTCTATAACTTAAGAGTGCTGAAGCCCTGGGTTTGGTAAACTAGGCAATGTCTAGGATTGTAGAGGTAGGTTCACATAATTACAAGGATCCTTAAAAGTGGAAAAAAAAAATGGGCTAGGGATATAGCTCAGTGGTAAAGCATTTTCCTTGAATGTTCAAGACCCTGCCTGGATTCAATCCCCAGTTCCCCTCCCTGCCAAAGGAAGACAGAGGCAAGCTAGGCTAGAGATGCAATGTGGGAAAGACCTGTCTTGCCTTTGATAACTTGAAAATGGAGAAAGGGAGTTAGTAGCCAAGGTTCATAAGCATCCCCCAGAAGCTGGGAAAAGACAAGGCAGAAAGGAATTGCAAATCTGTCAATCCCTTAATTTTAGCTGTCAGATGTGTTGGACTTGTGGCAAACATGTTTTGTCTGAATTGTTATATCAACCAGAGAAAGCTAGTACCATACTCAACCAAGAGTGCTTCAGGAAAATGGGTAAAAGCTATAAATTGGCAACTACTAAACATGAGAAAATGGGTTGGGGATTTAGCCAATTGGTAGAGTACTTGCTGAACACTGCAAGGCCCTAGATTTAATCTCCAATAAACAAACAGTAAACAAAAACAAGTCTCAATACAGCTCCAGAATGTGAAGACACTTGTTTTTGTGGCCTTGAGGGCAAGTTAGCTAATTCAAGGAGAGAGAAGAGCAGGGTTGGGAGAAGAGAGCAGAGTTGAGATGTAAAGCTGAGAAGAAATGATTAGAAAGATATAGATGCTAAACATGGTGACATACACCTGGAGTTCCTGAGCTTGGGAAGTTGAGGGAGGAGGATAATAAATTGGAGACCAGTCTGGGCTATAGCAATACTCTGTCTCAAAACAACAGAATCTATATAGGTCAAGTTGATGAAGAAAGGACTATGTGTAATATAAATAGCAGTTGTTTATATCATTGGTACTTAGGTGGATGAATGCATTTCTTCCCCCACTTGGTTAGAAATGTTTTTCTCTCAAAAACAGCACCAGAATGTGCTGGAGAGATGGCTCAGCGGTTAAGAGCACTGTCTGTTCTTCCAGAGGTCCTGAGTTCAATTCCCGGCAACCACATGGTGGCTCACAACCACCTTGAATGAGATCTGGTGCCCTCTGCTGGCATGCAGGCAGAAGACTGTATTTGTAATAAATAAAATATTAAAACAGACAAACAAACAAAAAAACTAGCACCAGACTGTGTTCCTCTGGCCCTGCAGCTTTATCATAATTACCATAATTGCTACTGTTAGGAATCATAATATAAACATGTTTTTCCGATAGTCTTAGGGCTGCTCAAACCCTCAGGTTGAGAACCATTGCTCTAGAACCTAATCAATAGGGGATATGGCTCTAGAACAGGAAACTGGCATCTTTAGTAACCTAGACATTAAAGAAGACGTAAATGGGATTTGTCTAGTTGAACTACTTTATTAGGATTTCTCTGTCTCTATTTCTTACCCACACCTGGTTTGGTTCAGGTTGTGATATACTGGTTGCCAGTACTATCATACTTTACTGACTGGATTTAGTTGGCAGGCATCTACGGACACGTAGAAATTTAGCTAACAACCTTTGAAAACCTCTGGTAGGGGGAGCCTGGGGTGTGGAGGATGGGAGCTGCTTCTCCTTGGGGGCCCAAGCACAATGCTTACAATGGTGAGGATTCTGGGTATTACCGGCTACCAGGCCTTCCCTTTGTTGATCCTGGGGACTGGCAGCATTTGGGAGAAGCTGCTGAGCAAGAATGGTGTGTGGAGAATGCTGAGCTCTGTACTGAGACTTTTTAGAAAATCTTTGTATAGGGACCTCTGTTGGTGTGCAGGCCTGGGCAGGGTTGTTTTTCCCTGTGTCAGTGGATGATCCCAATCTTGCAGTCCCTCCTCCACATTTCTCTGCTTTGGGTTTTCTGGGACTCCCTTTCTTTTGGGCTGAAGGTAGTACTAAAATCTTGTCTTGGCGTCTTTTGCTAGAGACTGGAGCCCCTGTATTTGAGGGCTTTCCCATTCCTGAGCAGTTTTCATTAGCCTTTGTATGAACATTCCCTGGGGATGGCGTTTGGCCCACTACCTTCCATTTCATTCTCTTTTTTTGAGACTCTTGTTCTGCTCTGCTAGAAGAGTGAGAGCAGTGAGGGGCCTGGACAGACTGAGGTTCTGTCCTTTGAATTTTTGGGGGATCACCAATTGATGAGCAGGGGTACAGACTGAGAGCTTGAGTCTGATGTGGGGAATAAGATAGTCCCCAAGATTCTGGAATTGGGGAGTTAAGGGCTGGGGAGCTGCCAAGTGAGTGATGTGGGCCTGGGGATTTGAAAGTGGGGCTCTGCTGTAGTTTCTTTAGTCTGGCCTTTAATTCTCTACTCCATTGCCAGGCATGGCTCACAGGGTGGTCACACAGCTCTGAGACAGCTCCACCCTGGGAAGATGGGTGGGAAGATGGGGCCTCTGCCTTAGCTTCTGAGAACATCTATTCCTTC